TGCATTTCTTGGAAAAAACAATCTTATGACTTACTGTTGGTAGGGCTGTCCACAAGATGCTCCAAAAAGTCCAAAAAGTTGCTCATAATTTCTTAAAAAGTTGCTCAAAAGTTGCTCAAAAATAGGGTTGTCCACAAGATGCTCCAAAAAGTCCAAAAAGTTGCTCATAATTTCTTAAAAAGTTGCTCAAAAGTTGCTCAAAAAAGCAAAAAGTTGCTCAAAAGTTGCTCCAAAATCCAAAAGTTGCTCGAAAGTTGCTCAAAAAAATTTCATATATGTACAGTTTATTTCATGATTATAGCTTATAAGCTTTAATAGTTTTTTTATTATTTATTATTTCAATAGTAACACAACTTTAATTATCAATAATTTGAAATGTACATATTGTGGATACTAGTTAATTTTAAGATTGATTGTGCTCCTCACAAAAGCTATCAAATATCAACAATACAAGCATAAGGGATAATTTTGAGATCTGTATTCTGTAATGCTAAGATTGATAAGATAGTATTAATAAATATTATTTATCTTTTGTTGCCATTGTATCTTAGCATAACTGATGCTTCAACTGTTTCTTCTAATGCTGCATCTTGCTGCCTATTAAAAGCAGCCTGTAGATAACTGAATACTCTCTCTGCTGATGCAGAACTTGGCTGCACTAACAAGAWCTTCTTGGTTGCTGCTGACCAGCATGGGAGATTAATCTGATGTTGTGCCCACCACTGCACCTTACCATCTTCTGTTTCAACTTGTGCTCCATCAACAATGGCCAAATAAAGTGGAAGCTCTTCGGTAAGCTGAACAATTTCAGCATCAGTGAAAAATCCAAATAGCTTAAGTTCTTGAATTGAGGCTGCAGTTGGGCGAAGCTGTTGAACTTGCACAGGGCAGCATAATCGCGCAGCTTTGAATGCACGCACTGTGTCATGAAACTGCACACTAAATTTCATTTGATAGTATCTGAATCCTGGAGTGATACAATCCTTTCCTTGAGCAACTAACTGGTTGTACAGTGGAACATTTCCATTGGCATGATGCCTAGCTTGAGCTTCAAGATTTGGGTAATTATTGATAGCTATTGCATTGGATAGTGATGACAAACGTTCATAGCAAGTAAATACTAAGGGAKCATCTCCTTCAAGGTAGTATGTAGCTGACACAAAGTGCCTACCAGCATCAATCATTGCAGCAAGCTCAATTTGRAAGTCACGAAGTTTGTCTTGGTCATCAAACAGTTCCAATAGATTTTCTCTACATACAGGGGAAACATCAATTTCCCTGAGGAATGGCTCCACATCTCCAAAAGACTCCATCACTAGGTTGAGAACTTCCCACTTGCTCCACCACCTGGTATCTGAACTACGCAGCATTGAAGTTCCTGTTCTTGTTTTCCATAATAGCCGTGCAGCTGGACTTTTTGAGAACATTGTATTCCAGTTCCTAGAAAATATATCTAGGACACTAAACTCAAAGTGCTTGCCAACGTTGTTAATTGTGTGAGAGAAACAAGGAACATTAAAAATGTTGGGAAAGAAAAAGCCAATTTGTCTTAATCCTGCTTCATTAACTGCTGCACCATCTCTCATTGCTGCAAAAAGTTGATTGGCTTGAATTGAAAACTCAACAGCTAGGCACTGTATTAATCTCTGAGCAAGCTGTGCTGCATTCATGCTCATTGCTAATACTTCTAATTTCACAAGTCTCTGTTGAATGTTCCATTGATCATCAATAAAGCGTACAACAATAGC